CGTAAGCGCTGACGTCTGATAACCAAGGAAAATAGAACAAGGTATGATGAGTCAATGAACCAACCAATTACTTGAGGGAAATATTGCAATTACAAAATCATTGTCGGACAGTTTTGTCCGATTGCACTTCGCGAATGGCGATTAAGTCATAAATAATCATAAATAAATGTGATTTAGAATTGCGATATTGTCTATAACACTTGAAACGAGAATCAGCCAAGGTAGTGAATAGGCTTATTGCGCCCTCTAATACTCGTTTTGAAATTGTCGGTAATGGATGAAATTTCGACAATGTCACGATAGTCAGCTGGATACCTACAAAGTATATGTACATGTATATGGCAAAAACGTGAGATTTCAAGTATATAATATCATCAAATACAAGAATAGAAAGACAGCAACGGAGATCGTGATTTTATAAGTGTTGGAATAATTGAAACACAGTCCTTGAGAAAGACAGGGCGATTATCGAAAACCAGCACTCGTGGCAAAACTATATTGATAAGCCATTCCAATTCTGAACTTCTACGTGTAAACCAATTAAATGAACTCATAGATAAGACAGTTGAAACAACAATTTGCACGGTCGACAATCTTCTCATTTAGCCAAAAGATATAAAATATGAAAATAGAATGTGTTTACTACTATTTATATGAAACACTCCATATGGATTGGTTTCCGCGAGAGTGTCATATGGATTGTGTCGCATTCATGCGTTTCCGCAAGAGTGGTACGTAACGGAGTAATGTTATACTGATTATAACACGACACAAAGTTACCCTATTCCCATAGGAAAAAAAACAATGCCGAAGTTGTAATGTTATGTTTAATATAATATAAAACGACACAAAGTTACCATTACACAGTGACGGGCTCAGTCGTGGCAATTTTATTGTTTAATATAATTTCTGTTATATTTTGTAACTCGCGTTGGCGCGAGATTTTCACGCGTCGAACCACGATTTAAGAAAAATGAAAGATTATAAAATTACCACGAATGTTTTGGGTGAAAATGACGGGTGAAGGGGTGGCGACAGGTTTGTTGATTCAAGATTTGTACCTGAAACGCAGTATGTTTTATTTAGAAGAGAGAACAGTGTGGTGCCAACATTTATGTATATATATGTTTAAGTTTCAAACAAAAACATCGGGTCATCGGCGGTCAAAAAAATATATAACGAAGTAATATGATGCCCTGAATGTACTACTTTCGACATAGTACGAGTAATTTGTGATTCAGTAGCAATCAGAGAATTGTTAAAATTAGTAAATCCTCCTCCTTTATCGAAATTGACACCGTCAAATCGTTTATTCCATTATCTGTATCAAATTACAGTCCATCCGTGGATGAAACCAATCTGTTTATCGGCCATTACAGATTTGTAAAAATATATCTACGAAAACAATGATAAAAGAATAAATTTAAAATTTTTAAATGTAAAATTACATGATGTTTCGAGATGAAGACAATGGGATAAAAATATGAGGTCAACAAATTGGTGTACAAAATTTATGAAATAGTTTGTTGAGGACATTTTATCATTATTTCCCACAGCAAAGGTATATCTCAACTTTGTGCTCAGTGACATAGAGGTTAAATGATATACTATTATTATACATCTGTCACCGTAACGCCATACGTTACAGCGTGCCGTAATTTTGCGGTATTTTAGGGGGTATTTTTATCCTACCATATTAGGAAATGCTAATTCCAAATATGGAATGATTACGCACGTAAGCGTCTTCTAATAATAAAAACAAACATGGCTGCCACAAGGGTTTGACCGGACTCCATACAAAGAAGTTCGCTGATTTCGACATTCCCATGATGTATCCTTGGTAGGAAA